CCACTCATCAAGCCACGCTGTGGCAGCGTCCCATATAAAATAGAGGAAGATGGGCACAGACATTAGTTCAGCAGCAACCTGCCTCAAGCAAAAAATAGGAAGATTGGCAACAAGTTAGCTCAGGGCCAATTTTTCTCACACCCACACAGAAATTACACTTCTCTTGATCCTACTTTCCCATCTAGTCACTTTGCCATTTCCACGCTCCTCTTTACAGCAAAATCCCTCAAAAAGATTGTCCATACTGTCTCCAATGTCTTTTCTCCTATTCTTTTTTAAACTCACTCTAATAAGAATTTTACTTCCAACCACTTCATTAAATCATTTTTACAGTTGATAAATCCAAAGGCCAATTCTCAGTCCTTAGTTTATTTGAACTATCAGCAACATTTAATGTAGTTGATACTTCCCTTTCTTAGAAGCACTTTCTTTACTTGATTTCCAGGACACAGGCTCGCTCAGATTTTACCTCTATTACACTAGCCGCTCCTTTTAGTCTCCTTTCCTGGTTCGTCCTCACTTTTGCAATATCTAAATGTTGGAGTGTCTCATAATTTGGTCTTTAGACCTCTCCAGTGCTCCATACACTTGTTGATATCATCCAGTCACATGACTTTAAAAACCATCTAGAGGGGCCAGCCTGGAGGCATAGTGGTTAAGTGTGCACTCTGCTTCAGAGGCCTGGGGTTCACAGGTTTGGATCCTGGATGTGGACTAATTCACAGCTCATCAAGCCATGCTGTGGCAGCATCCCATATACAAAGTGCAAGAAGATTGGCACAGATGTTAGCTCAAGGGCAATCTTCCTCAAGCAAAAAGAGGAAGGTTGGCAATGGATGTTAGCTCAGGGCCAATCTTCCTTACCAAAAAAAAAAAGAAAAGAAAAGAAAATCTATATACTGCTGTCAATCTCAAATATTTATTTCTAGTCCTAATCTCTCCTACAAAGTCCAGACTCGTATCTGCTTACATGACAATAGACATCTGGAATCTAGCGTGTCTAAAGTGAACTCCTGTCCTTCTCCCTCAAACCACAACTAATTTCTCTCTTTGTTCCTAGGTTCAACTCTGCATTCCCAATCACTCAGGCCGAAAACCTTGGAGTTATCCTTAACTTTTCTCTTTCTCCCACACTACACATTCAGTCAATCTGCCGTTAAAATATGGTTAGAATATGGCCGCTGGTCACTCCTCCACCACTGCCACCTTTGTCCAAGCCGTCATCACCTCTTGTGTGGATGGTTGCGACAGCTTTGTAACTAGTCTCCCTACTTCCCCACAGTCTTTTCTCACTACAGCAACCAAAGCAATCCCCTGAAACTGAGTCAGACCGTGTCACTCCACCACTCAAAACCTCCAGTGTCTCCCATCTCATGCCAAGTTAGAACTCTTACACTGCTTAAAGGGCCCTAAAACATCTGCACCCCATCCCTACCCTCACCTCTCTGACCTTGTCTCTCACTTCACTTCCCTTCCTCACTCCTCCTCAGCCCCTCTGGATTTCTTAGACCCTCTGGATAGGTATCAAGACTTATACTTTCTTCCTCCTGGAAAGATCTTCTCCTGAATACTTTCATGCCTGCTCTCTCATCTCCTTCTATACTCAAGAACACGCTTTCAGTGGAGTTTTCCTAGATAACGTTTTCTAAGTTGCCTGAGCATTCCCTAACACTCATTTCCTGCTCCACTTTTTTGTGTAGTAATTATACCATTTGTGTACAAATAGGAAGCTCTCACCTCCCATCTCCGCTAAAAGGAAAGCTCCGTGAGTGTGGGGATTTGTCTCTTTTTTATTCACAGTTGTCCCATTGTGAAAAACAGTGCCTAGCACATAGTAGGTACTCAGCAGATATTTCTTGAATGAATGGATGAGTAGCCCTAATAAAAACACGAATTCTAGAGCTGATCCACTCAACAACATGGATGAACATCAAAAACATTATGCTGAGCTAAAGAAACCAGACACAAAAGAGTACATACTGGATGAATCCATTTATATAAAGCTCTAAAAAAGACAAAGCTAGTCTATAATGACAGAAAGCAAATTAGTGAGTGCTAGAGGCTGGGGATGGGTGAGGAAATGGGAAGGGACATGAAGGAACTTTCAGGGGTGATAAAAATGTTCTTTATCTTGGTTGTGCAAAACTCTTTGAATTTTGCACTTAAAATGTGTACATTTTACCGTATTTAAGTTGTACCACGTCAGAACGTTAACTGAGAGAATGATGGAAACATGGAGTTAATTTAGATCTTTGGGGTAATAAGATTCACAGTGATTTTGAATGAAAGAAAGATAAATCTCACAAATTGTTACCTATAATAAACATAATATTTAGAGAGCACAGCATAAATTGTCCTTCCCGTGGTCTCTATATAAGGAATGGGTTGTATCTTTATGAGATATTAACCAACGTATCATGCCTCAGTTCTTCAAATTTTCCAATTTTTTTTCTTTTGGCAAGATTCGTTTATTTCTCTTTCTCACTAAATAGGATGTATAACAAAATTTCTATTAAAATAAAGTCAGCATTGGGGCAGGTGGACCAACAGAGAGGAGAAGGCAATAGGATGCCCCTCTATCACTCCAGGTCCTATCAGGAAATCCAAAATGGGAATTTAATAGAGAAAACCAGTGCAAGCCAAAACCCATAGGAACAATAAACTTAACTGAGTACTTCAGAAAATGGCACTTTTTTAATCCAAGAATCTTTGCAGACTATGTTCAGGTGTATTCTCAATAAATTTCACATTAGGTAGATCCATAATACATATATTTGTATACAATACATAAAAATAAATTTAACAAAAAATGTACAGTAAGTAAATAAAGAAAATGTCAAAATATTTCCATGGGACTAAAAAAGAGACTAATTCATGGAGATGCTATGAGTTCCGAATTGGCCTATTCTCTCTCAGTTAACCTATAGAGGAAAGAATTGTTGCAGCAATGATACAGCAATAGTCTGAATGACTCTCCAGAGGACTATGCCAAGTGAAAACAGCCAATCCAAAAAGGTTATATACGATACAATTGCATTTATGTAACACTTTAGAAATGAGAAAATTACAGAAATGGAGAACAGATTAGTGGTTGCAAGAGGGTAAGGGAGCGAATGGGAGCAGGAGGGAAGTGGACGTATCCACACAAAAGGGCAGCAGGATGGATCCTTGTGGTGTAGAAATGTTCTGTATCTTGACTGCATCAATGGCAGTATCCTGGTTGATATTGTTCTATAGTTTTGCAAGATGTTACCACTGGGGGAAACTGGGTGAAGGGTACAGGAGATCTCTCCATATTATTTATTACAACTACATACGAATCTACAATTATCTCAAAATTAAAAGTTTGAAGCAATTACTTAACCATTTGGGAAAAAAATCATGTTATTCCCCTCTCTCATTCTTGACATCAAAATTAATTCCGTAACAAAGAGTTAAAGGTAAAAACAACTCACAGCTACCATTTATTGAGCAATTACTACATGCCAGGTATGTTCATATATATTTCATTCTATTCTTCCAACAAGCTCGTAAGAGAGATATTATTATCTACATTTGACCAAAGAGGAAAATTAGGTGTTTTCCCAAATTCATACATAAAAAAAGAATAATCTACAAATAGAAGAGAAACAATAAACCGCAATGTACTTGTATTGAATGGATGAATATGATTCTAAGCATTTTAATTTTTTTCTTCTATAATTATTTATCTGCACTGAGTTGTCGGTGATGAACATGTTTTATACCTTTCAAAAAATTTTAAGGTTGGGCAAAGATAAAAAGTAAAGAACTTTTATCAAGGACAAGTTAGCAGGGATGTATGGCTCACACAGCAAAACACAAAAACTCCAGCTTAGTATAAGCTGTGCTTTAATAATTGCATCTAATTACGAGGGAGTGTTGAGCATTAATAATGTCTAAAGATGTTTAAAAAATAGCAATTAGCAATGACAAAGGAGAAATTTGGCAACATTTAGGAAATGACTGAATGGAGTAGAAGCAACGTGTTTTGAAAGGTGGATTTGATAATTACTAATTACTTTTGTTCTCATTTCTACCCAATTGAAGGAAGAGAGGCCAGAGTCAACCACAATCTTCTAGGCAAAAGGTAACCAGTGCCTGGATTTGGGTGACAGCAGTGAGGGTAGGAAGGAAGGGACAGAGATCAGAAAAGCTAGGAAGGAAGTGGATAAGACTTGGTGATTCATTAGCAATAAAGAACAATGGGCAGAAAAAAGCCAAAATGTGATGTAATAGAAAAAACAACATTGGGTACAGCCTTGGTTTTGCCATGATCCAGATAAGGATCCTAGAGACAATCTTTTAATGTTCTCTTGGCTTCTTTATCCTCATCCCTACAACGAATGGGTTGCTCTATAACTTTTAAGATCCCTCCTAGATCTAACATTTTAAGGTTAGGTGACCAGAATGACAACAGTAACATTGACAGAAATCCTGAGGAAGAATCTGATCCCAAAGGCTGAGATTTAGATTCTGGCAACACCACTGCTGTGTGACCTTGAACAAATTACTTAACCTCTCTGTGCGTCAGTTTCCTTTGTAAAATGGGAATAATAATAACAGTGCCTACCTCCACAAACTAGAAGGACCACAACTAAAATATGCAACTATATGCTGGGGGGATTTGGGGAGAAAAAGCAGAAAAAAAATAATAGTGCCTATCTCACAGAATTGCCCCACATAAACCTGTAGGAAAGTGCCTGGCACGTCATAAACCTCAATAGATACCAGCAATTAATAACAGTGCCATCTATACTTAGAATTGATCACAATTATGCCTCAAGGTCCCAGCACAAGGACTCTCTAGACACCAAAACTTTGTCATAAAATTCAACTGTTATTACCTCTCTACCATAATATAATATGTTATGGGGGCAGATGGCAGATGGTTTGTAGAAATACGCCACGCAGGTTTCTGGGATTTAGGTGGCTGAGTCATCAGACCTGGTGTGCTACATAACCTTCCGATACTGCTTCCTAAAGTGAGCGCTGCTAGTCATCACGTCCAATCTTTCTAGCCCTGCACCATCAGGTCCTAATATTTGTCATGGGTATTACCCTAAAGCAACAGAACATAAAGATCTGAGTCATTTTGAAAAAAATAAGTGTTTATCCAGCAGCTGTAACCGTCAGAAACAAACCACTCTGAGAGAACGGATGCCCATGCACCAGATGGAGAGGGCGTGCGGCTGACCTCCCAGCCTTGGCCCTGTTGCCGTCACTTCCTGCAGAGCGTATGAGGCAAGAACCGGGCAAAATGGTAAGTTTATACACGCAGGTTGATTCCTTCCCTGCCCAAGCCCATCCTCGCCTGAATCTCATTGTAAGGATGGCAGTTCGGATAATGTCTGTCAACTAAAAGAGTAGTAGCTATTTGCCTAGGACTGCAAGAGGAAAACCAAATACAAGAGAGGAAAGCTTGTGAGAAGAGGGTACCAGCGAGGACGTGGTATTGGTACACAGGTCTCAATATTAAAATCATAGAAGAAATCTATATAACAAATGTAGAGAAAATTTTATTATTTAAGATTCAATCTACCAGATTTGTAAAATTTACTTCAGAGCCAACTTTCAATTTCAACTTACACGGGGCTGCATGCCTCAGACACTCTTTAAGCTGCCTTCTAGAACAGTGTGAAAGGTACTTTCCGAGCTCAAGTCAGCGTGATTATCTTGAAGTTCCCTCCACTTCACTTTAAAGGCCACTCAAATTGCTGGTTTAAACATTTCTAGAATGTAAGGAAGAAATGGCAATTGAATAATTCTTTCTTTGTTTCTCTCCCTAATGGCAAAGAGTATTTTTGTTTTATCTGTTTTCAAATTGTTTTCGTCATTTTCAAAATTGTACACTGAGCAGGCAGAGTGGTTATGTTAAACCTTAGTGTCTCTCATTAAAATGGTTCATAAATGAAGAAAGTGACTGGGTGTCTGTGTCTTCCTGACCACTCAGAGCACAGAATTCCACCATCAGCTCAGGACTTCAACCCAACCATCATGACTGTGCCACCTTGCACCTTGAACACTTGCTCTTAGTAACACATTGAAATTTCTCATCAGTTATCTTTTTCTCTACAACTGTTAGTAGAGATGATCTGTAGTTTTAATTTTTTTTTTTTCCTGCTGAGAAGCAAAGCTGTCGAGAGGAGGGTGGGTGCTGGAGAAGCCACTGAATTAGTAGCAGCTTGTTCTTAAGCTCAGTAATTTCAGTGTTGGCCTCCAGCCCTTCCAGTAATTTTCAAAGTGCCTATTTCCCTGTATTAAATGCTTTTCTTCTTAAAATACCTGGAGGTATTTCTATTTCCAGCTCTGGACTTGGACTGATAATTAATACAACTTGTCTAGGACAGATGACCCCTAGGGATGTTCCTGACACACTGTTACAAAATAAATTACTTTTTCTGATGTATAAAAATACATATTGCAATCGGGTGTTTTGGCCACCTTAATTTTTCAAAGTTGAGTTATTTTCATGGTGTTCCCTTATTCCTGTTTTCCTAATTATTGAAAAAATCAGTGGAATAAACACAGAGAGCACAGCCAGGAATTCTTGACTCAAGAAATGGAATTCTTCTTTATGCTCATTTTCCTGTCTACTGAATAATTAAAAGGAGATCATATTCATGAATCTTCGTAGGATCATGGAAACATTTGGCTGAGAACTGTAAAGTCAGTGGTCAAATGTTTCCTAATAATGAATAACTTGCCTAGACTTTACAGAATCCAACATACTGTCATTTCTCTATTATGATGCCAGGAACAGTAAGGAGCCAAGCAAAGACTCAAACCTGGGATATTCTGGTTCCAGACACCATGCCCTATCCTAGAGCAGTCCTCTGTCCCACACTGCTCCTCTGTACACTGGAGCTCAGCCCTAAAAATTTGAGGCAGTATTTTATATATATATATATATAAAAGATATATGTGTATACATATATACATATATATATACATATATAACATATACATATGTGCACATACATATATGTGTGTGTGTTTCCTGATTAACCTCAGTGGTTTTATGAAATATTGACCTTCACCTTTGAAAATTGCAAGGAAGGAGGGGCATATTGGGGTTTAATGTCCCAATTCTATTTTCTATTTTTAGATTACCTATATAAATATCAAGCCACTTTAAGCCTGACGCTCATCATGGTGGTTCTCCTTACAGCTCTCTCCCTTCTTTGAGAAATCAGTTTCTTCTTTTTCTCTTCCTGTCTACCCCACACTTGGGCATTGTTCTTTGGTATCACATGGTATCAGAACCCTTCGTGAAATAATACAGGTCAATGTTCTCTTCCTTCAGGATGTCTCAAATCTCTTGAAGGGCTCCATTCCCTGTACTGTAGTGTTGCCATCTTTAATCATTTGGAGTGTCTTCTGAAAGAGCCTTTTTTTTTCATAGAGGTCATAATAGCTTATAACATTGTGAAATTTCAATTGTACATTATTATTTGTCAGATACCATATATATGTGCCCCTTTACCACTTATGCCTACCACCCGCACCCAACCCCCTTCCCCTCTGGTAACCACTAATCTGGTCTCTTTGTCCATGTGTTGTTTATCTTCCACATATGAGTGAAATCCTGTGGTGTTTGTCTTTCTCTGTCTGGCTTATTTCACTTAATGTAATACCCTCAAGGTCCATCCAAGTTGTTGCAAATGGGACAATTTTGTCTTTTTTATGGCTGAATGATATTCCATTATATATTTATATATCACATCTTCTTTATCCAATCATCAGTTGCTAGGCACTTGAGTCGCTTCTATGTCTTGGCTACTGTGAATAATGCTGAAATGAACATAGGAGTGCATAAGTCTCTTTGAATTGTTGATTTCAAGTTCTTTGGGTAAATACCCAGTAGCGGGATAGCTAGGTGGTATGGTCTTTCTATTTTTAATTTTTTCAGAATTCTCCATTCTATTTTCCATAACAGCTGCACCAGTTTGCATTCTCCCCAGCGGTGTATGAGGGTTCCCTTTTCTCCACATCTTCTCCAACATTTGTTATTTTTTGTTTTGGTGATTATAGCTACTCTAACAGGTATAAGGTGATATCTTAGTGTAGTTTTGATTTGCATTTCCCTGATGATTAGTGATGTTGAACATCTTTTCATGTGCCTCTTGGCCATCTGTATATCTTCTTTGGAAAAATGTCTGTTCATAGCTTCTGTCCATTTTTTGATCGAGTTGTTTGTTTTTTGTCATTGAGTTGTGTGAGCTCTTTATATATTTTGGAGATTAAGCCCTTGTTGGATATATGATTTACAAATATTTTCTCCCAGTTGGTGGGTTATCTTTCTGTTTTGTTCCTGGTTTCCTTTGCCTTGCAGAAGCTCTTTAGTCCCACGTAGTCCCATTTGGTTATTTTTTCTTTTGTTTCCCTTGCCCGAGTAGACATGGTATTCGAAAAGATCCTTTTAAGACCAGTGTCAAAGAGGGTACTGCCTATATTCTCTTCTAGGAGTTTTATGGTGAAAGAGCCTTTATGAATTTTTTTGTACTTTCCTCCTTTATTGCCCTTGCAGGCTTTGTACAGGCATGACTATAACCGAAGCTGGTGCAGGCAGAGGCAAAGGTGGAGAGTGGTGAGGCAGACTCTTGACCTCACTATGCCTTAAACTTGAGAGAAAATAAGTGAACCACAAGAAAATATTAATTTCTTTTTATTTCTCTCTGCTATTTGAGAATATTTACTGTGTAACAGAAAACCAGCTATGGCAATTCTGTTTTATTGTTTCAACTTGCTACGTGTGTTAAAAAAGTGATTAAAAAAGACAATTGAGGTGATACAAACAAACACTTCACAAAGTTGAGTCTCCTGTCGGAGAACTGCAAAATGGGGTGGAGGGCAGGAAGCTTTTATAGGATAAAGAATAAAGAACAAGGAAGAGAAAAGTAGAAAATGTCAGGCTGGAGCAAAGAGTTAATCTTGTTTGTAGTGAGAAGACCCAGAGCTGGCTGGGCGTTTGAGGATTGGTTGACCGGATATACTGCATTTCAGGTCAAGCAGAGCGTTTACAGGCATGTGAAAGTTATCTTAAGTTTCGATTTGCTGACTTTGCACCCCAGGCAGGAGCAGCTCCATCTTGAGCCTAGAAAGTTATTTCAATATGTGATTTTTTGGTAATCATTAATTAACATTTTAGAATGTTTGGAACCATTTGACACCCTGATATACAGTGTGAGGGAAGTTCATATCTACCAGTATTGTATTTTGGTCCAGGTGTATCTTATCTTTCCATCTCCCACCCAGTTTGGACATCTGAAAAGAAAATACTCTCAAAAAGTCAGTTGGCCAATCAGAAGCATCCAAACCTGGGAGGAAGAGCAAATACATTGGATGATAGAAACTGGACCAAAAAAATCATGACAGGCTTGAACTATGGACCAGAAACAATGAGGTAAAAATATAGAGATTCAGATAAAGGCCAGCACCTGGCACAATAACGCAGCTGCTGAGGTTGGAAAAGTTAACATTTACTGAGAACCTTCTTGGTACTGCACCCTCTGCAATGTGCTTTTGCCTATCTTGTAAATTACGGTACAATCACACCCTCAGCATATGATTTTTACCTAGTGGGATAATGTAATGCAAGGTCAATGAGAACAGGGGCTGGATGGGAGCCAACTGTGTTATATTTGAATTCATGTTATGAGTGGGTGCATTATCTTTGGGTTTTATTGTAGTAAGTGTGAGGAGATGCAAGACTTTTGGTTTTCAGTACTGCTGAGGTGCTGCATATGTAGAACTGTAGCATCAAGAACTGATAATAATTACATTCTCTCCTCCGGCAAAGACTACGTGGGGAGTCCCGCTTTTAACTCTGAAGACTATTCTCTAAGTGAGAGAAAGGCACACAGCACTGCCTTCAGAAGAGAATGGAGTGGCATCTACTTTGAGGTGGGGTACAAGTTCTAAACTCACCACACTACAGTCATGCGTGGTAAAGTTCATCTTTGGAAATTCCTTAAATTGATTTTATATTGCCAGGATCTGGGTCGTGTGAAGGTCAAAAGTCAAAAATTAACTCCTTTGGTTTCCCTGTGTGTATGTTTTATGGGCTTCTTCCCCTGGTTCACTATGAATCCTGTGGGAACGGCGAGTGTAAAGGAGGAGAGGAGGATAAGAGGATTCCCATCCCCGACCTCTGTTGTTGCTATTTGTTGCAACACAGATATCGTTGAATTTCTGTAAGTTCAATGAGCTTTGGATGCAATTCACTGTTACCAGGAGAGTGAGGGAGGTTCAGAACCATGC